GGGGGAGGGGTCCAACAACCTGAACCTGAGGTTGGGTTCGGGTTAACCCGAACTCTAACCTCAGCTGGGGTTCAACCCCAACCTCAACCCCACGTTTGGGGTTCAGGTTAACCAATCTTAAACCGGGGTCAGAGTTGGAATTAACCCCAACCCTAACTCCGGGTTTGGAGTTCGGGTTAACCCCAACCATGACTTTGGAGCAAATTGGAGTTGAGGTTGACTCGAACTCTAACTTCGACGCCAAGGTTTAGGAAAGAGTCAACCCGAACTCTAACTCCGACGCAAAGGTGAAACACCTTGCAACTGCTCCGTCTCCAAGCAAGAAAACACTTGAGAGCAAAATGAAACGAGACGAGACGAATGTGCAGTCACTGGCCCAACTCAATCTCCCGAAATCAAAACCATGACCATGCTTTGACTTTGGTCCCACCAAATCTACCGGAGCGTGGTGTTCGAAGGCGTGGTTTTCATGCTCGGTGTCGAAAACATTTAAAACTTCCATTTTTCAGGCGGAATCCAGCTCAACATACAATAGTAATTTGAAACGAGGTTCAGGACACCACCGCTTTGCAAAGCGCAGGTTCATGCAGTAGATGGCCACAAACATCTTTGTTAGGATTGAAGTCCGCACAGCCTGCGAGTGACACAGTTGGATGATGACTCTTCCGGAAACACTTCTTCGAAGCAATCTTAGCTTGCAGCTGTCCCTGCAATGTTGTGTTTCAACACCGTTTGTCCGATTTGACGGGCCCATTGTCAAGGTTCTTCGAAAACATGTGCACCACAAATGGACCTCTCATGTCTTTGGCCAAGAAATGCGCCGCCACTTAAAAACCAAACCCGCCAAGACAGTCGTAGGAGTGGAGTCATCCAAAGAGTGCCGCTCACAGGCTACACGGACTTTTTTGTGCAAGCTTTGTCGCTTCTCGTGGCCGCCTCGCAGGGAAATATCGCATTTGTGGCCGGAAAACGGGACCTTTTCACATGATTCAAGCTCTACACGCAGTAACTGGCGACATAAGGCACCAGATGAGAAGTCCAGTTTCTCCTAAGTCGAGCAGGTTTTCAAGCATGATCAAAGTGAGCAACAGACGTGGTTTAGGTCTTGAAAAGCAGATCCAAAGCTCCAGTGAACAAACCTGGGTTGCAACCTGGGTGGAAACCTGGCTGGGTTTTAAACCCGAGTTCCAAACCTGGGTTAGAACCATGCAGTGTTAGAAAAGAGGCACTTCGTCAAGCGGAGACCAATATTGACAGCAACAGCTTCTTATGGTTTGTTTTTCTTCTTTTGTGTCTGTGATTGCGTTCTGTTTCATTAAGTTTCCTTTACTCATTTTATTTTTCGGGTTGGGTTGAAGCAAACGTCAGGGTTGGTGAACCAACAACTTCCGGGTGGTTTGAATTAACTGAACCTACAACCTCAGGTTCAGGTTGTTGGCTTCCCTGCCTTTCCTAGTTGTTGGCTTCCCTCCCTTTCCTAACCAACCTCAAGAGGAAAATGAAACAATTTTCAGAATCAGGAATGAACGACTCCAACAAACAACAAAACTTGAAAACAACGGATGAATCCAACTCCACGCTGTTTGGAAACTTGGTGTTGTTCCTTCTTTTGCAATGAATGAGTTGAGGACCCTCTAGGCTCCAATTTCTTCCGTCGAACCCGATGCGCACGAGACCACGTACCCGTGCTGCGGCGCCTTCACTCACCTTGGCTGTATGGTGCAGGCCGTGCTTGCATGGAAGCCTTGGGCGCTGCCGATCGCACCTGTGGCAGCCCGGGGGGCCTGGGCGGCCAAGCTCCCAGCAACTCACACGCCACGATATAATCAAAGAGCCCGTCATTTGCCCGCAATCCAGGTACAGCGTAGCAGCCTCATGGCCGAATGACCAGGGCACACAATCCCCATGTGTGCTGTGGGCCTGGTCAAGCGGTGTAGTCCACGAGATGGCACCCGTTGTGCGTCTTACTCATCCAATACCGAAAGCGCTGAAAGCACTGGACAAACAAACAATTCTGCCCGCCAGTCTGGGAGTAGCGCGCAGCCTCATGGCCGAATGGCCAGGGCACAATATCATGGAAAAGAGGCCCCAAGCCTACTCGCAGAAAACGCCGCCAGTAGGCTGCATCCTCCATATGTTCGTCATTAAAAGCATACAAAAAGGCCCACTCTCGGCGGCCGTGGCGTCCTCATGAGGCGAGGCCGCGTGGTAGCTGGGAACTAGCCTGTAGCCCAAGAACGGATAATGTAGGCCGTCAGCCAGCCCTCCCTGCCCTCGAAAGCGCCGGACTGCCGCCACCCAGTCTTCGAAGGAGAGGCCCTCGCCCAGGGTATACGGGGCATGTTGAGCTCGTGCCACTGCCACACCAGCAAAATCCCGTCGCACAATTTTTTTTCGTGTGAAAAAAATAGAACAGAAACATGACAATTCAGAGACACACAAAGGCCGCACAAACATCGTTCAAAGCGTCCAGCGCTTTTTCATGAATCGAACTTTCCACGCCGCCTGTACCGTAAACCCACCTTGAACTCCAAATCCAAACTGTGTGCTGTGAGGTTCTGGCTGTCGACGAAGCCCACTCTCGCCGAAAAAGAACTAGCCTTGCCTGCTGAGAGTTTCTGAACCTACGGTTCAAATCTGGAGTTCCGAATGATGTCCCAAATCGCTTTTGGGCTCCAAAATAGTTGTTCAAACCTGGGTTTCGAAACCCAGGTTCCGGAACCTAGGTTCAACCCAGGTTTCCGAACCTGCCCTGCAAGAAAGAAACAGTTCAGAACCCAGGTTTAACCTGGGTTCCAACCTCCCCGAAACGCTGTGTTCTTTTCAATAAGAACCGCATTCACAACATTGGCCAGCTTTGGCGCCTCAGGTTCCCCAACAGCACGGCTCAAACCTTCTGGGGCATCCAACCTTGGATGAAGCCCCCTTGCAGGCTTCACTTGCTCCAACAGCCTTGGAACCCGACTGGACTCACTCGGGATTTCTCCAGATTCAACACTCATGGGTTTAGTCCCTTCATCGACATCCTTTTTAACCTCCATAGGCTGTTCCCCCTCAAAGTATCCCGGCGGCATGTCCTCATCCGGAACCTGCTCATAAGGGAGACTCGGATCCTCGAACATCTCCACATCAATCACGTCGGGCTTAGATGCCGCTGAAGGTGCTTCGCTTCCCAAACCAGTACGTTCATCACTGGTCTTAGGGCGCTTCAACGAAGGTACACTAACACCCGACACCCCCGCATCCTCAGAGCTTCTCGCTTCTGAAGAACCCTTCGGAGACGTAGTCGAACCTGATCCCGGTTCGCCTTCAACCGACCTTTGCTCACCATCACCAACCAATCTTTCTCTTTGGTCTTTCAACCACTTATCATACCGCCGTTTGCAAGCGGCATTTTCCTCGCTTCTCACCACACGCTGGACATCCAGGCGTTCCTCCATGCTCTCGTACCCAAGCTGCTGGCGGGCCCACCTGACTCATGTCAGTGGTAGGTCCTTGAGACACCTTTTCTTCAAAGGCTTTGTCGACGTCAGCTTGCACTTCCGTGGGTATCCCATCATCCAACTCTTTCAGAATGGGAGGTGCCAACGTATCCTTAGGATCGTAGACCTTGAGCAAATGCTCACAATGCTCAAACCCAACCTTCATTGGAGTGATGTGCTTAATCGACTTCGCCCGATAATGATGTGGCGTCCCGTTCACCAGCGAACTCACCACATGAGTCAATCCACCAGCTTCTGGATACAGATAGGCTGCTTCCACAAACCTTGACAAGGATGTCTTCTTCATACTGTCCGGTAACTCAGCAAGCACCGTCATCCCTATCAAAGTAGATGCACACTCAGGCAGTGGTCTCTGCAAAATCAACTCCTGAGGAGACTTCTTCCCATCAAACCCAGCCGAATGATGATTGTGCATCGCAGCACAGTAGATCAATCCAAACTCAAACGCACGCGGACTGCGCTTCAGATCATACCCTTGGGCTCTCAAATCAAGCCTGACCGTGCTGAACAGCTCTTTCAAAGTCCGAACTGCTCTTTCAACTCCACCAACAGATTCATGTCCCTGCGGTGGCGCTTTCTGAGTCGCAACCCGAATCCCAAGATTCGCTCGGCGAATCAAAGCACTGACAGCCGTCTCACTATCAGCCCGAAGTAACACTGCAGTTCCGGCAGTTGTCAACCCAAAAGCACCTGGTCCACGCCGCACTTGTCCCGACAAGGGCGCGACCAACCATCCTGGTGGACTTATTTGGTTATGTTTTCATTCCAAGCGCACCAACAAAGCAGAAGTACATGTACACGAACTGCACTCACAGACTGAAGCAATCGCACTCGGACTTCTTTTTTAGAGCGAGGGGTGCAGACTGTTGGATTCCGGCTCCACATTCGTGGATGTACAAAGACTGGCAAAACTACGATCGTCCTGCAACGAAGTTTCCGGCAATATCCCGCAAGTGAGAAACGAACATCCTGCAAGCGATAGGGCAACTGATGCCATTCCCCCGAGGGGTGGGCGGGTGGGACAAAAAATTTTCTCATGCCTGCAAGCAAAACTGCGAATGCCACTGACATGCATGGCAAAGCAAACGTGAGAAAACATCATGTCATGCAAATAACCCCCGCAAGACATGACTGGAAAAAAGTGCGCCCGAAAATTGTAAACAATTTTCCAACATGAAAACAATCAAATAAGAAAACATCCCCCTTCGGGAGAGGTTGTTCTTATTTGGTTATGTTTTCATTCCAAGCGCACCAACAAAGCAGAAGTACATGTACACGAACTGCACTCACAGACTGAAGCAATCGCACTCGGACTTCTTTTTTAGAGCGAGGGGTGCAGACTGTTGGATTCCGGCTCCACATTCGTGGATGTACAAAGACTGGCAAAACTACGATCGTCCTGCAACGAAGTTTCCGGCAATATCCCGCAAGTGAGAAACGAACATCCTGCAAGCGATAGGGCAACTGATGCCATTCCCCATTCAAGATCAGGTGCCGCTAGAACAACAGCTCTTCGCCTGGGGCCCAACGGACTCTGAAGTTGGTAGGAAGCTTGCCAAACACAAATCGCGAAGGATCATCGGCAGGGTTTGCAGATGACTCCACTCTCTCAAACCATATGCTGATTCCTTTCTCATCCTCAAGCATGCTGAGCTTGTTGAGCTGCGATGCTACCACCGGGGAATCAGAAGCACACTTGATGAGGGCCGCGAGGGCGGCCTCATTGTCACAATAGCAAATGAGATTGCAGTCACTCAAAGAGTTGCAAAGTTGCACCACACCTTGCACTGCCGCACAAGCTTCCAACTCATAGATCAGACCTTGCTTGCCCTCTTTGTTTATGGCCTCCAGAACGTCTGGGTCGGCAGACTCGGAGTACCACCTAAGGAGCAAACCCCTATCGCTATAAAGAATGCCTCCTAGGCCGGCTGGCGCATCCGCTTCGTAGGAAGCGTCTGTGAACAAGTGGTAGGTGGAACGATCGCAAGCCCTGATCATCCTTGCTTCCCCGTGCAAAACTCGATCTTTCAAGAAGAGCAGGGCCTCGGTCAAGGAATCATCGAGAACTACAAAGCCCGAGATCTTCATTGCTTTTGATATAGCTCGCATGCGCTGGGCCGCACCCCGACCAAACACTTGCGACTCAGCGAACTGAAGACGGCCACGCAAGCACTCAAGCTCTTTGGCATGCACTCCACCTTGCTGCACGATGGACTCGATCGTGGACACGAGCTCACGCTTCCTAGCCTCTGTGTTTTGAACCCTAAGTAGACCTAAGTGGATCTCGTCCAAACTAAACTCTACTCCTAAGGCTTTTGCCACACTTTTGAACCCGGCGTCTTTTCGTCAGACGTTTCCCAGCCGATCAAGGCAAAGTACGACCGCAACACAAGATCAAGATGGCCCTTTTCCTCCGGAGAGGATACTGCTACAAAATCGTCGAAGAACACGCTCCAGTGGATGTGGAGCAGGACCTGCCCCACACTCCAAATTGCCCCCGAAGAACGACAGAATCCTTGTACTGATGGCTTAGCGCCAAAGGGTAGCACCTGGCTTTGGTAAAGTTCAGGTTCGCCCGTATTCGGGTTAAGCACACAGATATAAGCATCCCCCAAAGCCCGCTCCGATAAGGGAAGTTGCTTATAGGCTTTACGCAGATCTATCGTACGAAGAAGCAAGCGGGCGTCCTTCCCTGATTTTCGTAGCAGCCGGCACCGCCTCAGGATCCCGGCCACAATGACGTTCACTGAGTGCGGGTCAATTGTTTCCGCACAAGTGCACGTCAAGTTGGCTAAGCTTTCCGTGAAGTCATCGATCGGACGGATCTTTGCCGCTACACCGTTGGCCGTCGTCGTCACACCTTGCCTGACGCCAAAGCGGCGCGTAACAATGGCAGTCTCCGGCACATCGGCGAGAGAGAAGGGTCCAGTGAGCCACCCTTTGTCCCGCTCCTCCAAGGTAAGGCGATACACTTCCGAAGCAATTTCGGGATCCCTGCAGGTGCGGGTAGCTTCCCAGATCGCACGCTGATTCGCCGGGGTGGCGATTCTTACGTCCTCGATGCTGAGGGATGCCACGGTGGTTTTCTTCGGCAAGACAGACGAGGAAGGGATTTCACCAAGCAGGTCGAAGCCGTTCTGTATATCTCGTACCAGGTTTGCATCGGCATGCCCAGCAGCTTTGACCATCTCCCCGAAGAGTTTCAAGGGTTTCCCAGCTAGGATCTTCTTGCAATGTTCGGGTCCGTCAAAGCTCTCGTCAAGCTCTTTCTTCCTAAGCATCCATTTGCGAAGTTCAGCCGTGCGTTCTCTAGCCACACTGACCGAGCTGTGCTCGCACAAATGATCAATACATGCCGACATGCCAATTGGCACACCTTGATCTAGGGAGCGCGGGTGCTTCGCATTGCATGCCTGCTCCACAAACTCCGAAGGTGACCACGGTATGCCAAAGAGCAATTCAAGCCCCGACTTGACATTGGGAGTCGCACTGGCTGCACTGGAAGGGTAGGGCAGGGGCCGGCTGGCACCGCGGAACCAGGGGATCAGGACTACCTAACACCACTCAGCAGCCTCAGGCAGGGCAGGTGCCGGTCGGCACAAGGTGTTAGGGGAGTCGGGACTACCTAAACCCACACCCATGACGATCGTAGGAATACCTGCAGCAGAGGAGCAGGGCTCCGCACCGGCAGCAGAGGAGCAGGGCTCCGCACCGGCAGTTGGCTCAGATGTGGATGCAAAGGTGGCTGGCTCCGAGGTAGGCGCCATACCCCGTGGAGCATAAGGGCTGGCTCGGAGGCACTTGGAACCTGCCGGCAACGATGAAAGAAAAGGTGTGCAGAAGACAGTCTTGGGGACTGTCCAGGCCGATAGCAGCTTGGTCTTCGAGGTGCACGGCAGCTGATCGGCTGGGCCCGACACTTTGACTGTGCGAGAAAACTCAGGCACCAGCGGAGGAATCTTCCGACCTGAAGGTTGTGCAGCTGTAGTCACACGGGCGCCCAACGAGAGCGACAAGGATGCATTGGCAAGAGAGCACGCCGGGCCGCGCGCACCGCATGCAAGCAGTTGATCCACAAGTGCCTGGGCAAAGGATTTGCACAGCATAGGCGGGAGGCCAGCGTCTTTGGCGCGATTGCACGCCGGAGAGCGCCACGGCTCGTGAGCGTGGGCACCATCACACGTCACACCAAGTTTCTGCAGGAAGGGAACCGTGTGCAGAAGGCGGGTAGCCTTTCGTCTGTAGGAGCCGAACATACACTGATGCAAAGAAGTAGAGAGGAAGGGAGAGGACTGGCAAGACCGAAGTGAAGCAGTGAGCCACATGATGGATCGGCTGGGGTGAGCAATGGAGCAGAACACCCCATGACTCCAACAGAAATGCCAGACCTCTGCGCACATGGCAAACAGGGCATTAGCCCCATTGACCAAATCAAGATCAGCACCTTGAAGTGCGTGCGAGTCAAACCCACAGCCCACCAGCCACCCCCTTGACACCACCTGTTGGTACTGTGGCAGGAGCAAAAGCTTCCAAAAGCAAAAGCGGAAAATCAGGATATGTAAAATCCGGAATCCAATATCTTCGTATAGAAATGAATCACCGGAGCTCGAAACGCTTGACATGTGGAATGCAGGACTGTTGACATGCAGAAGCGGACATCTCTCATTTTTCCCGAAGGATGGATCGGAGTTCCCATTCGGCGGAGAGCACATCATGACCGTAGCGCTTTAAGCGAAAGACGGTCTTCCCGAGAATCAAGATGTGCCCAGCACCAGGGTTGGGAGGGTGGGGGCTTCAGAACTCACCACTTGACCCTTGTGGCTACAAACGTCACGACATGATTCTCATGTTGCACAGCTGACAAAGTCAAAGGCTCCAAGTAAAATAAATCAGTTCAAAAACTTTTTGGGATAAAGAAACCCTGTTTTCTTTTCCCAGACACGACGGTACACAAAGTGTACCGAAAGCACGTGGGTTTGAAGGGCACACACACTGACGCAACAAGTCGCGAACGCGTGCGTGCGAGTCAAACCCACAGCCCACCAGCCACCCCCTTGACACCACCTGTTGGTACTGTGGCAGGAGCAAAAGCTTCCAAAAGCAAAAGCGGAAAATCAGGATATGTAAAATCCGGAATCCAATATCTTCGTATAGAAATGAATCACCGGAGCTCGAAACGCTTGACATGTGGAATGCAGGACTGTTGACATGCAGAAGCGGACATCTCTCATTTTTCCCGAAGGATGGATCGGAGTTCCCATTCGGCGGAGAGCACATCATGACCGTAGCGCTTTAAGCGAAAGACGGTCTTCCCAAGAATCAAGATGTGCCCAGCACCCGAGCATCGCCGTAGCCGAATGGTACCGAAGAGTCACCACCTCGTGCGAGGCTTCTTCCGACTGGTGGCCTTCGCCACCGGCTGCCTCTTGTTGTGCGCCGCAGCCTTCGCTGCAACAAGCTCACCATGAAAACCATTTGCCGACTTCAAGAGGTCTCCCAGAACGATCCAATCAATCTGGTCGCCCAAAATCTCAAGCCTCTTTGAGGGATCAAAACGATCGAAACGAAGATTGGTGAGATCGTCCGCCCACACGTTGGATTCCCTAGGAACCCATGACAAGTCAAGAGAGAGGTTCATCCCCCGTAGCGTCTCCGAGAGCTCCATCAGCAGCAAGGGCAGAGGATACCGCGTTGACATCAGCTTGGATACCGCATAAGAGTTCCCCTGATTGTCTGTGCCACCGGTGATGTGGCCGCACCCGCCACCGCTGCCCTTCATCTTGGCGCCCCAAAGTTTGACGCAGATGAGAGTGCCCAAAAGCTCCAGACTCGCAATGGTGCGTTTCAGGTCCCCCTTCACGTAGGCCCACGGTGCCCAGGATTCAAGGACCTCCAGAGCGAACCACTGCAGTGCCGATTCCCCGTCCCACAAGTAGCCGCCGACCCATGCGCGGTCCTCCTCGGCTTTGGCATCCGAGTAGAAGCTGAACTTGTTCATCCCCTTTTGCAGCCGCTCCGGAGGCGGTTCCTGGAGCCGGTCCTCTCCCCGGAACCTCCCCGACATCCAATGGAGAATTGTCCTTAGCATGACCGGGATCTTGAGAAGCCCCCTGCTCCCCCGCGTGGCAGCCGACCAGGAGTAAAGAGGACCGAGGAACGGTCTCTCCCAGGAGAGGGCGTTCGCTCCAAATCCCAGTCTGCCCAGGCCGCATGCAAAATCATCCCAAGTCACGCTGCCCTCTCGAGAGATGCGTAAGGTCCAGTCAGCGAGCCAGGTCGCCCGTTGCAATGAGATTCCCAGCCGGAAAGAGCTGTAGGATGTCTCATAGCCCACCCATTGGACCGTCAGTCCTCCTTTTGTCTTCGACCACTTGAAGGGGAAGCCCAATGCAGCCAGGAGGGCGTATGAGAGGACAATGCCCCTTCTTCCCGCCTTGTCGCCCCCGATCATCTCCACGTCGTCGGCGTACAAAAGGATCTCCAGGGCTCGCCTTCCAGTCAAGTGATGGATGAGCCTGATCGAACCCCCGGAGAGTCTCGCCCACCAATAGCCCGCGCAAGCGAGGCCGAATGTGCCCACGCAGTTCAAGTAGACGATGGAGTCCCTGGAGGAAGCTTTGCAGCCCAAGTACCCCCACTCGTCCCGACGGTGCCGGTATCTCCTGTGTGCCTTCGCAATGTCGCCGGTGACCGCCATCGGAGCCATCCGCTTCTCCTTGAGGCGGCGCAGCAGGCATCTTTTCTCCCGGGCTCCGGGAGATCTCACTTTGTCAAGACAGCGGATCCTGTGGTTCAGCAACACGTCATGCGATGCATCATGTACTATACGCTGTTTTAGCGGCGGGCCCTCTTCAGTGAGCACCGCGATGGCAGAGATCGCCGCCTCCTCTCCATATGTAGCCCAAAACTCGGCCTCCCCCATCCGGACCATCAAGCCTTCCTGCACTTCTGCTTCGAAGTGCTCCCTGACAAAGTCCAGGTTCTTCTCCGCCGACTCGTAGTTGGCCTTCCATGAGTGGGCCACGTCTAAGGGGCCCACCTCCAGCTTCCATTTAGTCTGCGGCTCGAAGACCTCCGGCGTGCGCGGCAAGGGGCGCTTGATCCCCACGGTGAAGCCATCAATCGCCTCCAAGAAGACCTTCCAGTCCGGGTCTGAGGCATCTCGAAGAAGGCCCGCCAGCAACCTCAACCGGAATGGTTGCCCCGGGTCGATGGTCCCCAAGTCCTTGACATCGAAGCCCTTTGCCCCGAGGTGGGCCACCATGATCGCCACGAGCTTCTCATGCAGCGTTGGGTCGGAGACCAGCTTGCACCCGGCCTCCCCGCGGGTCGCCATCTCGAAGGTCGCACGATCCAGTTTCCGCTCATCCCCCGCGTGCTCCAGCAGGGCCTCCTCGAGCTGCTTTCGCAAGATGTCCCAGCCCTCGGCCGCACAGTATCGACGCCGCTCGGGTTCCCAGCGCCCCGGCGAGCAAAGGCCCGCCCCATCGTGGAAAGGCCGGCTCCCCCAGGGCTCGTGGCACACCCGCGCCGGCCCGTCGCCACCTGGCACGGGTGGCCATGTCGGATCTATTTCCGGCTCTGCCCCACCAGACTGCTGCCCCGAGGGCAAGACGAAACTTCGCTCCATCAAGATCTTCCTGTCCGCCGGCAAGAGCTTCTCGGGGTCCTCGATGGTGTAGCCGGCCAGCACCAGCCTGGTTCCAGTCCAGGGTTCCGTCGTGTGCCACTGCTGTGCATTGAAGGTGATCCTTCCCTGCTTCCACTCCCGGACAGTGCCTTCCACGCTCCAGCCCTGCACCTGCCTCACATCGGTACCTTCGCCTTGCACCCAGAGCCCGCCTCGCTCGAAGGTAGAGCAAGCTAGCAGTAGGTTGTCCCAGGGCCCATTCGACGAGTCTCGGTGCAAGGGCTGCTTGAGATCCCTGAAGAGCGCCAGTGAAGTGAAAGGCCGTCCTGGAAAGGCTGCCGCCATCACCCTCGCCAGTAATTCACTGCTCCAGCGGAAATCCTGCAGGTTTCGGCGGAGACCCGCCTTCCCTTCGTGCACATATCCACCCGTCGTAAATGACCTCTGTCCCTCCACGTGGACTTCAGATTTGCGGATCCTGGACTCATCCGGAAGGCTAGCCGAAATCTGGAGCAGGCCCTCCTCAGTGATAAAGCCTTTGCGAAGGGCCTCCAAAGCCAAACGCTCGGCCTCTCCCAGTGTTCCCTTTGCTTCCGGGTTCATTGCTGCCGAGGGCTCGAAGCGAAATATGATCTGTCCCGCGTCATCTCTCGCCAAGTCCCCCAGGTCTGCCTCTGGCTCCAAGTTTGACACACCCCCTCCGGAGGCGATGGAGGCAGAGGCCAGGTAGTCGTTCAAGATGGATTCGGCCGTCCATTTGCACATGTTCGCCGGCCAGCGCTCGGTGCCCGTGGTGGCGAAAGGCATCCCGGAGCGGGCCTTCATGGCAACTGCCCAAGGATGTCGTTGCAGCGGTCCAGTGTAGAAGCCGCGGTCGTCGAAGGTTGGCTGCCCCTGTCGCATGAAGGCCGGAAGCGTAGCTCGGGAACGCAGTAGCAACCTCGTAGGCTTGGGGAAAGTGGTGCCGAAATCAGCTTGATGAAAAGCGACGTGTCGCACCGCTTTGTGGTCCGCGAGACGGCGGAAAGAAGGACGTTGCCACATGGACGACGGCCGCTGCCCCAGTGCCACAGCCCCAAGATCCTCTGGTTGCTCCAGCAGCACGAAGGAAGAAGGCAGGTCCAAGCCTGCCCCTGCCACCTGCATAGCGAAGTCGGCAAGGTTATTGCCCAGGCGCGCTTTCCGTCGCTCTGCCCAGCGTAGGTGAGGCAACCCATCCGGATGTGCATAGGAGCGCAGAGGACGCGGTCCCCTCTTGTTGCGCCAGGGGGCCCGACTGAATGTCGAGCACGGTGGGCTCAAAACGATGGCAAAGTAAGTGCCATCTCGAACTTTCCGAAGATAATGCTGTTGGGTTTCGGTTTGAGACAAGTCGACAAAAGGTTTACGCAAAATATCAACAGCCTCCACCTTAAGTGGAACGCCATAACTAGGTGCCAATTTTTCAAGCCAAGCTTCCAACGACCCCTTTCGCGGTCGCCCTGAGAACAGGTAAAGAATGCGCAGCTCGCCGTGAAACGCTGCTCCCCCATCTGTGCCGAGTCAGCTCTTGCCGGCCGTGTCGCCAGCTGGCTTCCGCTTGGTGCATCCCACAAAGTTGTGATTCTGATCGAAACAATGGCTGCACACATGCTTGAACTTGCAATTCGCCAAGGAGCATCCCTCTTCAGTGTTGAACCTGAAGCAGATGGGCTCGCCGGAGCGTGTGGTTGCATGGCCCTTGAAAGAGCGAGCGTTGCCACGACCGTCGCCCTTCTTGCCCTTCTTGCC